TGAACTATACTGGAATGGTGCATGGACTAGATTTTGTACCCGCGTGAGTTATATACATGCAATGCATGCTGGCTTGTAAGTATATTATATACATATATATAAATGAATATATAGCTCTAATACTGTTAGTTACATTAATTGTTAATAGGCGATTAAATCAGCACCATAAAACAATAGTGTAAGATAAGCATTAGAGTAAACTTGCCATTGTCGGTTCTAGTTGTCAACTTGATGTCATAACGGATAATACCTGTGGTAATAATACCCAAATGCGTTGGTGATAACTCGGCTATAAGAAAAATCCAAACGCTGATGTTAAACTAGCCAGCTATCATGAAAAATCAATTAAGTGTACGGAGCTGAATGCTTACACCTATTATGTTTCAATTCCTACTGCCTTTCACTGTCTGCAGCCAGTTGTGGGAAGGCAGTTACCCTTAAAATTTCTTAAAGTAGAAATGAACTCACCCTAAAACTTCAACTCCAACCTCTGCCAATGGCAATTCTACTGCAATGCTTATATATATATATATATATACATGCAGGCTTTATAGTTTTTTGTTTTGTTTTTAAGTTCTAATGCGGTATATACACATAGCCATATGAATTTTCCAAGTTATGTAGATGTGTGCATACATATTTAATGCAAATATAAGACTGTGTGTCACAATATAATAGCATATGTATGTATGCATACAAATAAGCAATTTTGATATTTATTATAGTTATATTTCTCCATTCCTCTTCCTCCTCTTCGCTGGCCACAGTGAGGCCGGTCATGGTTTTGCTGCAGCTGGACAGATTTATTCTTAAAATGACATTCTGCACACACTACAAGGTCGAAAACGTGTTAATTAACAATTATAAGTTGATTATATTAATATATCCCCTCCATTTCTGATGGAGGTTGGGTTCTACAACCCTCTTGCACTATGACGACTCTAAATTCCGGTGGGCCGTCGCTGCTGCATACTTTACCTGAAACTAAATATTTTCTAAATAAAATATATAGCCACAAAATTTCTAAATCACTTTCGCCTAGAATCGCCATCTTTTGCTTGCACAATTCTTGCCACTCCTTATAGTCAGCTTCAATTATGGCTATTCTATCTTCAGTATCTATAAAATGATCAATTACGCAGTGCTGGCTATAATTCGACACTTACCATCAACCATCACCGTGACTGCCGATCCGATGCTCGAAACTGAGCTTGGTGCTATCTCTTAAACACCAGCTTAAATATTTCTGTTGTATGAGACAGCCTACACGATTTTGTAAAATGGCCGAAATCGATCATGCAGAGGTAAAAAAAGAAAAGCAAACAAACAAACTGTGATCCTGTCGGCAGCGTAGTGTCCGAAAGCGCAGGGACATCAATACAGTTGAACAATAAGTTGTTAATCGTTATGGTACATGTGTCACGCCTGCCATATAAACATTAAATTACATCTACGGCCCACACGCAGCTACATACGTATGCAAGTGTATTAGATTATGAGGCTTCAATAAAACCACAGTTTGTTTGCTTAGGATTTCGCGCAAAGCTACACCAGGGCTATCTGAGCTAGTTGTCCTAATTTATCAGTGTAAGACTAGAGGGAAGGCAGCTAGTCATCACCACCCACCGCCAACTTTTGGGCTACTCTTTTACCAACGAATAGTGGGATTGACCGTCACATTATAACGCCCCTATGGCTGAAAGAGCGAGCATGTTTGTGTGACGGGGATTCAAACCCGCGACCCTCAGATTGGGAGTCGAGCGCCCTAACCACCTAGCCGATGCGTTTAGTAATAATGCCCACGATTTATTACAATACTCGCAGCCATTTTTTCTGTAGGCTGGCGGAACAATATGAAATAATAATAGAGAACAAATGGGCGATCCTTATTATGAACCATGTAGTGGTTCATGATTAGAATTCTCCAATAATGTTTCAGTCAGGGTACTACAAATCTATCACGAACGAGATGGAAAGAAATAAAAGTTTCTGAGCATTCCCGGTTATCTTTCAGACCTCAAAATTCTCTGTAGTTTGAAAGATATTAAACTTAAGTAACTGCCACGATTGGACTGATATTTAAGTATTTGTTCAGTACATCTGAATGGAAAGACCAAATTTAGGTAGCTGGGCTTGTCTCAGCTCGACTAGTTTATACTTGAACAAATTATTTCAAGATAAGGAGGAGGGATGTGAGTTTAAGTAATTATTACAGGGGGAGTAGGCCTCTGTGAGTCCTAAACTTTGTTCGTTTTTATATTTTAATCTCTATTTTACAGTCTTTTACTAAATTGTACATGCTTATTGGTTTACATAGCTGATAATTTTTTTAATTAAATTCAATTCTGAATCATTTCTAATCTAGGTGCATTATGGAGTAAACATTGTTGTAACTTCCGACCATCGATAGTATGTGCTAAAATGTAACGAATTTTGAAAATAATTGACGGCAAGGAACACTATAAGGTTCGAGAGATCGATAAAAACTGTAGAGACTTTGAGGTGGGCATGGATGGATAAAGATATCGAACTGAAAAAAATATGAAGGGTGAAACAGTGAAAGGGCAACGTGTGCTTAGTGAAAATTTTCACAAAATCCAAACTCTTGGCGAAGCAGTTTGCTATATTTGTCAAAATGCGACCATTAAATACGGTACACTTGGTTTCGGTGCATTAAAAACCACGTTCATTCGAAATGTCACAAAAAAGTCAATGCATGACACCGTTTCTACCAACCACATAACAAATCATTTTGCAAAGTTAACGTCAAAGAAGGCGCCTACAGTAGGTTAAGAAGTTACCACTACATCCGATACGAGACAGCAAACAATTCCAGTGCCAATAACTTTGATGTGTGACAGAATTTCCACTGCATCTAGATGTACAAGACCGGTAAAGTAGGTATATAATTGCCACTCCCTCACTTAATCTACCAGTACTTAGTCATATATGTTCAAGATAATATGACAAATTTCATTATAATATTCTGAGCAGGTGACTCCAGGAAATAGTTTGAAATGCAATTTTGAGTGTAAAAATCTTTCAGCTTCAAAAATAGTTAACAGAAACCCCCACAAGAGCGTTGCCACTGGACTCCATACCCCAGGCTTCCAGTGATTTTTCTCATCCCTCTAACCCTTAATTAACTGATTCATCATAGTTGCTGACTAGTTTGACACTTACATTTGGATCTTGTCTGATAAATAGAATATCCCCAACGCGTTTGGAAGCTATGACCATATATATTTCCCGCCGTTATTTTTTGTTTTTGTAGTCTCATTGTGAACATTTTTTATTTCTATTAATTTCATTATTGTTATATAGTGCTGATTGTATCTCCTATTTACAATTAATGTATCTAATAGCATTAGAACTATTGATTTGTATATATAATATTTTAAAGCGCTTAGACCTCTACATTGTCTGTTGTATTCGTACCTAATGACGTACTGGGAGTCTGCGACGAGTGATCTTATTGGTATCGGATAAGGCAGATGTAGCGTGGTTGACATTTTGTAACATTCTCTTTTGCTTTCACTCATGGGTTCTTAGAATAAATTTTCAAAACGTAGAAATTTCACATTAAACTTTTAGTACATTTTCATGTAGTATTAGTTTCCACTAACAAATATGGCATGTGTCAAATTGTGTTCTGTGACTACTGACTGTGTGTGTTTGTTTTCAAATATTCGCACAAAACTACTCAAGGGCTATCTGCATAAGTTGTTCTCTAATTTATAACAGAAACTAGAGGTAAGGCAGCTAATCATCAGCACCATCCTCCAGCTCTAGGGTTCATTTGTTTTTACCAGTGAAAAACTAGAGGTAAGGCAGCTAATCATCAGCATCATCCTCCAGCTTTAGGGCTCATTTGTTTGTTTGTTTTTACCAGTGAAAAACTAGAGGTAAGGCAGCTAATCATCAGCACCATCCTCCAGCTCTAGGGTTCATTTGTTTGTTTGTTTTTACCAGTGAAAAACTAGAGGTAAGGCAGCTAGTCATCAGCACCATCCTCCAGCTCTAGGGCTCATTTGTTTGTTTGTTTTTACCAGTGAAAAACTAGAGGTAAGGCAACTAATCATCAGCACCATCCTCCAGCTCTAGGGTTCATTTGTTTGTTTGTTTTTACCAGTGAAAAACTAGAGGTAAGGCAGCTAATCATCAGCACCATCCTCCAGCTCTAGGGTTCATTTGTTTGTTTGTTTTTTACAGTGAAAAATTAGAGGTAAGGCAGCTAATCATCAGCACCATCCTCCAGCTCTAGGGCTCATTTGTTTGTTTGTTTGTTTTTACTAGTGAAAACTAGAGGTAAGGCAGCTAGTCATCACCACCCACCACCAACTATTGGGCTACTATTTTACCAACAAATAGTGGGATTGAGTGTCAAATTATAACGCCCCCATGGCTGAAAGGGTGAGCATGTTTGGTGGGACAGGGCTCATTTATTTAACCGAATAGTAAGATTTCAGTGTCATTCTCTTTATTTCTGGCTCGCTAATCATTGGGGTACACTTTGACAATTTGGTTTCTAACAAATGCAAACCTGTTTTTTTCAAACGGAAATAAAACAAATTTTGATAATGGTTGTAATCAAATTTGAGAATAGTTAACCATAATTACGAAAATCATTCTGAGTGTTCTATTCTACACGAGTATGTAGATATTAGATAGTCAATTAAAACTTTCTTTTCTATAACAAATATTTAAATAAATGTACAAGTCTAATTAGTTAAAAATGGATATTAACTCAATTTGATTATATATATATGTACATGCAGTGTCTCTCAATTTATTTACATTTCCTTCAATGTCCAGCCAAAATTGCAATATATTTTTGGAACATTTGATTTTCTTCATTTCCTTATGAAACTTATACCTGCTAATAACCACATGGGTCTAACAGCCAAAATTACTTTTTTCTTTCTGCCCATAAGCTGTCTTCAAACAACCATACTTATTGCTTATTTTCCCATCGTTTAAATATTTTTACTACAACTACATTAATCAAAAACTTAAGTTGATTTTTATTGTGCAACTGATCAAACTTTCAGCATTACAACAATCACTTTTCAAAGATGAATTAAATTATGGATTAAAAACAATTTTATAATAACAAGTTGTGATAATACACCAGAAGTGATAATCTCATAGGTTCAAATAATTCTGCACGTTTCACCATCTATTAACTAATATTGTTACTACATACATCAGAATAGACTGCCTCACTTCATTTGAATTAAACAAATATATATATTCTACTTTAACAGTCTTGTTCATTATTACACTTAAGTTTTAAACCAAATCACTCCATTTGGCCATTATTGCTAACCAAAATAAAGCACCTGTTTTTGTGTGGGAAAGCCCTTAACTGTTGTTTAAGTTATATTTTGAAACATTATTATTGTATTAAAAAAGACTTAGATGCTTTTCTCTATTAATACTAATTACATACAATTAAATATAATTATTTAACTGCTTTTCCATTAACATTACTATAATTGCTTCTAATCTATTACGACATTTTACTCCATGATATTTCAAAAATAAACTATTTTAAAAGCAGTGTAAAACACACTATAAAAAATCTAATAATTGTTGCAAGGCAATTAAAAATTTAAATTTCAAAAAATCATTTATGTATCTCCACTAATCATCTGTTACTATTTATAAAACCCTCCAAAAACGTTTTAAATGGTTTCCAAGATAATCCATTTCATTTAGTATTTTCAATTACAAAGAATTCAAGAGTTCTGTTGATGATTTCAACATCTACATCACTTCAACTCATTTCAAGTTCTTCTCAGTGATCAACCAGAAATCTTCCAAAACAGGCCTAATGTCCATTCTTTCTGACATTCTTTCAGATGCGTCTCTTGTTTCCAAGTGTTGTAAATTACAGTGATTACCTAAAAAAAAATCATAAAAACTAATTAAACCTTACAATCAATGACTTACAATAAATGAGCACTTAACTCATTTATTTTGTATACAGTTAATGCACAATAATAAAGTTATACACCTAAAAAGTAAAATTAAAGATGTGAACATCTAATAGGCCATAAAAACATGAACCTGAGCCTCTAACACACAGACTTAGCAATGTTGAGGTTACTATCTCATCACTCTATACTGATTCAACTATATTATTATTGGCTCAATAAGTGAGGCAGTATAATATTCAACTTTATATACAATGTAAAAAATAGTTTTGGCTTTACTGTGAAATATTGTAGTATATTGTATAAAGAGAGACTGTCTCAAATAACCATATTTTTCAAAGGACCCCAAATACACATACTCTTAATACTTTTATTTCCCCTGTTATTAACTTGGGCCTAGCCATGGCACTGTTAATACAATCACATCAGACATTAGAATATTAACAAAACAAAAAGCTAACCTTCAAAGAAACAAAAAAACTTAAATAACAAAACCAAAGACATAATCCTCCAACTAGTACTAAAAGCAGAAACACGAGTTTATGAACAAAACTGTTATAAACAAAACTGAGGAAATTCAAAGACGATTGTAGATTTCACAAATATTTCTTTTATTATTACTATAGTTTTGCCTCAGATTTTTCTTTCTCAATTCTATAATTATGGAGTTTTACCAAATACCCATGGCTTCAAGTATTAATTATATAATAAATAACCAAGCACCTAAACCTCTAACAAACAATAAAACTAGCGATGTCAGCATCTCATAATAAATTACAACCTAAGACAGGGCTTCCAACAAATAATAAAATTATGGACTTTCAATTGAAACAAGAAAACCAGAAGGGATCCTCCAGCAAGCAAAACCAAAAACTGGAGCATCTAAGAAAACACAAGACAACTGAACCTCTTAAGTTTTAAAAACCAAACCCTAGAGCATCTAACAATAAAACTATAGCTCTGGGGTTCTATCAAATACTCAAAAAAAAGAAAAAGATATTTTTGCCACAAATAGAAAAAGACAAAAGCTTCTCATAGGTAATATAACAAGACACCTTCATCTTTAAAAATACCAATAAAATATGCCTCTAACAAACAAAAAATGAGACACATTAACCCATTCACTGCAACTGAGACGTACAGTATTGTGCAAAAGTGTTGGAACAAAAGAATATTTCATCATTCTTTCCATTTTATGGGGCTAATTCTTCCATGCCATTATAGAACTACCATTTCAACACTATGGTAATGCTTCACTGATCCCTGTTGACAACTGAATGAGCCAGGGTGAGAATACTTATCATTCTTTAGAATTCCCATTCACTTGTATCAAGGGAATGTCATAAGGGTTTTGCTTGAATGAACATACTGACCAAACTTAGGGTCTGAAATAACTGTCATGGTACCCCATGTAGTGTCTTAGATATATAGAAAGAAGCTAGTATATGGTACCGGTATATGCTAGGGAAGAAATCAACTTAATAGAACTCCACATAAAACCTTGATAAAAACAGTGTTTAACACTATATAAGTTTTTTGGTCATGCCACAGCCAAAAAAGCATATAGAATTGTGATGCTGGTTGGACTCTCTA